CCTCCTCAATTGTTAGTCGGTCAATTCTCAAACGTCAGATGTTAGACTGATTTAAAAAAAAAGAAAAGAAAAAAAGAGAGAACACTATTATGAAGAAAAAGTAAAATAGTATTAGTCCTCCTCAATTGTTTCTTACAACCTCAACTCCTCATGCTTTATGAAAATATAATTTTTTAGGGGCTATTTAGCTTTATTCAAATTGAAAATACCCAAAAACTTAATCTTTCGTCTTCAAAAAATAAACCCAGGTCTTGTGAAAAAAATCATCAATAAATAGTAAGAAATAATTTGATTTACTATGAGAGGGTGGTTTGATTAGCCCGCAAACATTCGCATGAACAAGTTGGAATGACTTTGTTGTTCTTGAGGTGGATTCCTTTGGAAAGCTTCTTCTAGTTTGCTTCCCAACGAGGCATCCTTCACAAAGTTGATTGGAATGATTAATTTTTGGCAACTCATTCACCATTTCTTCATTCGTTAAGGTCTTTAAGCCACAAAAATTCAAATGGCCAAATCTTAAGTGCCAAAGTCAAGAATTGTCTTCAACACAAACTTTTAGACACCTTGGAAGGTCATCATTAACATTGAGTAAAAACATTCTATTTTTCTCCATTGGCACATTTGCAATTAGTTTATGAGAAACATCTCTCAAAGTAAGGCAACGATTCTTCAAGTGAATGTCATAGCCATTCTCAAGTAATGGTCCCAAACTTAAAATATTAGATTTCAAAGTAGGTACATAATAAACTTGAGAAATCAAAAGATGACTTCCATTTTTAGCACGAATAAGAACATCACCTTAGCCTTTTATTGAAACTTTAGTTTCAGCTCCAAAAACAATGTTGCCTTTTACTGACTCATTTATTGTTAAGAATAACTCCTTGTTGCCACTCATGTGATTGGCAGCACCGGTGCCAAGGTATCACGATTGTTTATCCTTTTCCTCTTTGGTTGCCAACATCAACAACAATTCTTCATCTTCCTTTGCTTCAACATGATTCATTCTCTCTTCATTATTGGTGGTGTCACTCCTACATTCAGAAGCATAGTGACTATATTTATGACAAGTATAACATTGAACGTTGGACTTGTCATATCTTCTTCCGTCACCTCTCTTGGAGCCATAGTTCCAATGCTCTCGTCCTCTCGATTGATTGCTTGATACTTCATTATTCAAATTTTGTTTTCCATCATTTCTTTCATTACTAAGGCCATAATTTCCTCCACGACCACGACCATGAATTTGACCTCTTCCTTGAGATCGTCCTTGCTCTTTCTGTTGACCTTTAAAGGAGACATTCGTTTGGAGAACTCGATCCATCGATTCTCCTTTCTTCTTCAATCTTTCTTCAAATACTTGCAAGGACCCCATGAGTTGATCAAGGGTCATGATATCCAAGTCATTAGACTCTTCAATGGCAATACTAACAAACTAAAATTTTGAGTCAAGCGATCTAAGAATTTTCTCGATGACACAACTTTCTTCAATATTCTCCCCTTACAGCTTTATAATATTGACAACAAAAGAAAATGAACTATTCATCTTTGAATGGCTCTAATACCACCTTGTTGGAAATAAAAAAAATTATGGGATGAAAGTCTAGAGAGAAAAATTCAGAGAATTCTCAAAAAAATTTGTATCGTATGGCTTGGCTCATAAAATATCTCAAGTACAAGGTCTTTTATAGGTACAAATGATCTCAAATTCATTGTATGAACTTAAGAGACTAATTAATGACTTTTCCTACATACTATGAATAATAGGATACAAAGAACCATTTGAATACATGATTTAAATAAATGCATGAATATTAAATAAACTAATTCATGTATCAAATTTAATTTTTTCATCATTCATGAATCAAGTGTAATTTCTAACAAAATTGACATTCGCTAGACAGTTCTGAAGTTCATCCTAGTTTAGATCGAATAAACATTAATATAATGTGGGATAATTAGAACTCTTATTCAATTATCAATACAGAAAAAATTACAAATTGGTGCATATATTTGGAAACTAGTATTTTAACTGTATATATGGTTTTTTTTCTTTTTTTCCTTCCCGTCATTGTCTCTAACATAAGATCTCCGCTAATTATTCCTCATACTTCCTCCATCCCATTGATAATTCTAATTTAATGAGTATCCTAATATTAGAGTCTATTAGAGAAGTAGAAAAAATCTAACTTTCTAATAAATAAAGCTACTTGGCCAAGGCCACAGCAGACCTCCCACCAATAGGGAGGTTCCACTGGATGGCTAAGGCCTTGACCATATAGTAGCTCGCCCTAGCCATATAGCAACTCTCTTTTCTGACTGTATAATAACCTTAACTTAAAATCAGAAGACAATAAGAAAAACATCATTAGGTACATATTTTGAAATTAATGGAGTAATAAGGACAAAATTGTAACGCCATCATACATGGGGCTAGCTATATTCTAAGGATCAATTTTACATCTAGTAAGAAGAAATCTTTGAATGCAAGAGTTGAATTACCGAACTCCATGAAGTATAAACGAGTGGTCTAACTTGTGGAGAAGAGTGAGAAAGGTTTTTGGACTTACATGTAATATAAGGGATTGCAGTAATGATGTTAACTAGTCTTTCCCATATCCATCCTTGACTTCCATGATTGTGTGATAAAGATTTTTTTAGCTAAAACTTCTAAAGCCAATCCTATTTTTTCAGTTGCAGATACTATTGTATGCTCCTTTTTTAATGTCTTTAAAGAGATATCTGCTCACAAAGAAAACCAAGCATATTAAATTGTGGAATAGTAAGATTTCGGGCTCGTTTGACATGAATTTGTTTTTGCTTTTGCTTTTTGTAGAAGATATTTTGAAGGAAGTTATCTTAATTTTGTTTGAAAACTAAATTTTTAAGAACTTCCTATTCTAGAAGTGTTTTTACAGAATGTCACGTTACCAGCTTCCTCTAAAAACATTTTTAATTTGAAGAAGCAATTTCATGAAATTAGTCAAACGGATTCAAAAATAACTTTTGAATTTCAAAAGATAATTTTGATCTTTCAAAAGTCATATCAAACGAGCCATTCGTCACTTAAATAAAAAGAAGTGTGTATATAGTAAGTAGAAATCAGAAAGATTTTTCTTTTAATCAAAAAGATTGATCAAAAAGATTTCATACCATACATGTCGGCATGGATAGTTGCCAGAAAAATATCTCTTTTTTCATCGGGTTGACTTTAGTCTCTTCTAACTTTAGTAAAAAAGAGATAAGACATTGACTTTAGTCTCTTCTAACTATTATTAGCCCAAATTGAGCAATGATGTGACGCATTATGTAGGGTGTTGTTATGTGTGTCAACGGTCCAACAGAGCTCTCACTAATGTGGGATTGTACATGCCTTTATCTATATTTGAAGACCCTTGGATTAATGTCAGCATGGATTTTGTATTGGGCTTATCTCATACCCAATGGGTGATGGATTCTATTTTTGTTGTGGTTGACAAGTTTTTCAAGATGGCTCATTTTGTAGCTTGTCGAAAGACAATGGATGCTACCCGAATCATCCATCTTTATTTCAGGGAGATTGTGTGTTTACATGGTGTTCCCCAATCAATTACTTCTGATCGTGACATCAAGTTCATTATTCATTTCTAGAAAAGCTTGTGGGAGAAACTAGGAACGCGGTTGAACTTCAATAGCGCCTACTACTCCTAGATAAATGGTCAGACCAGGGTGGTGAACAGGATCTTGGGAAACCTTTTGAGAAGTTTAACAGGGACTAAATCGAAGCAATGGGATTTGGCATTGCCTCAAGCAAAATTTGCCTATAACAAGGCGAAGAATATAACCAAGAAAGAAATGAGCCCATTTGAGATTGTCTATGGTCGGAATCCATCAGAAGTACTTGACTTAGACCCTATCCCACATGTGGGTTGCTTAAGTCACTAGGCCGATGAGATGGCAGCACATCTTCGAGGTATCCATAAACATGTGAAACTGTCCATTCAAGAGAGTAATGCCAAGTACAAGGTTCAAGTCGATAGTCACCGTCGTTAGGTGCTTTTTGATGTAAGTGATTTTGTTTGGGCGGTATTGACTCGTGATCGTTTTCCTACTGTGGAGTATAATAAGTTTAAGGAGCAGAAGATTGGACCCCGTGAGGTCCTACAAAAGATCAATGATAATGTCTACAAACTGCGCCTCCCTAGCCATTTGAAGACTTCTAATGTCTTTAATGTGAAGCACCTAAGTCCTTATCTTGTGGATTTCGGTGAAGTTAATTCGAATTCGAGGGCGAGTTCTTTCCAATCGCGACGAGAAATGCAGGAAGGTCTGAATCAAGTGATGCTAAGTTGTTAGATAGCATGTTGATTGCGTTAAGATACCATGAGTTGGCAGATTGGCGTAAAGATGGCAAGTGATCGTAATCTTTTCCTAATCAGGACAGTTTTGAACACGTTTTAATAATTTGGCCATAACTTTGCCTACTGTTATCAGAATTGCAATTATGAACCCAATTCAGAAAGCACTTTTTGGAGCACACGTAGTGATCACCAGTTATGCTGGGTGGGCATCGTTTTCGAGGCCAAAATCAACTGTTGTCCCTTTTGGATTCCCATTTTTAGTTTTTTTTTTCATTTTTGGTAATATTTCGTTTGTTGTTTTCTTGATGATTATGAACTCGATTATTACTTCTTTTATTACATAGTTTATTTTAGTATGATTATTGAGATTTTGATTTTTTGGTAAAATTTTGATGATAACGCTTTTTTTTAGCTATATACGTCATTCTAGATTTTAATAAAATTGAGTTGAACATCAGAGGATTTTTCTATGTTTTGAGCATTTTCTCTCGTGTTTTTCCCTATGAATCATCTGTTGAACTAGCTTGTAGGGTAATCGCTATCCTACCCAGTGTCATAATGGAAACGAGAAGTTGCAACCATGTCTTGTAAACCACACTATTGGAGCTGTTTAAGGACTAACGTTAGCAGTCAAGTGTTCAGAACGCATATTTCAGCTTGGGATCATTCGCCACTGCTCGAAAATGCCGATGTCATGCTTGTAGGCATCATGCCGTCTAAACGGCCATTTTCATCCAACTCCGAGGATTTTGCTCCATCTCTAAGTAAAACTTTAGAGTAGAATGTAATACTCAAGTTTTATCTCGATTATATAAAATATCATGTGGATCCCCTCTATTGGTGACATGGGCAAATGATTAAGTAAATTTGTACTTATTTATGAAGTTTTTTATTTTAAGTGGAGAAATTTTAAATCACTTATAAATCGTGTTTAGATTAGGGACCGAAGTTGAATTAAATGTAAGGAAATCATGTAAGGTTGCGAAACAAAAAAACATAATGTTGAAACACTTGATCATTTATCTAAATGCTTAAACCATTGAATAAAGTTATACATATATCCTTTACATATTGTTTATTTTATATTAAATGAATTGAATAGGATTCAACCTGACTTACATGTATTGCTATTTTACTTTTTGGTCTGCAATATCTTTAATTAATTGGAAAACAAAATTACAATTAAACAAAGATGCATAATTAACTGATCGAACATATATAATTAGCTATCCAAGTATTTCTTGATTAAAAAAAAAAAAAATTGAAGTGTTAATCTTTCACCTATTACTCTTGTTGCTGTGAATAATTAATATAAGGATTCAAGAGAGAAATGGGGAAATGTGTTAGGGTTTCCAAGAGCAAAAAGATTATCTTACAAAATGAAAGTAAGAGTTTATATTAATATAATCTAATAATAAAAAAGTTTATGCGTGCTTGGTTAAGCTTTAAGTGTTTATGAGTACTGAGGATCCAAAAAATGCGTGGATTAAAAATTATAAAAAACTGTGAATATAAAGGAATATTTATGGTTAAAAATGAAGTTAAACAAGCTTATACACTCTTGATTGCACTTAAACTACCTTAATAAAACAAGTAAAATAAAAAGAAACAATATAAAGTACTATTAGCTAAACATTGCAAATTTACTACTTACTCTCCATTCTTTGCATAGTAGTCTCACAGCCTGTTTGGCAAGGATTAAAATCTAACTTTAATCTTAGTCAAAGTCAAATAATTAATATTAATTGCATAAAATATGGGTCGCACGACTTTTCAACTATACATTTCAAAAACTTCTATCATAATTTACTGAAAAATCAAATTTTAATCCCTATCAAATACTCTCTCAATAGATGAAACCGTCCATTTAACCATTATATTAACATATGTCTATCTCTTTGAATTTGAAGCAGAGAGATATATTCTCAGCGTTTTCTAGGTACTATAATTTCTTGTATTACTGTTTCTTTTTTGATTTATAAAGAGGTTGTCATAATTCTAATTGTTTAATTAAGAAGAAATGTCCAAATCATGTAGGAGTAGAGGATAGTGACTAGACTCTATAAAGCAATGAACAGTATATGGAAGATTATACTGCAATTTTAGGTGTGATTGGGCAAGCATATTTTCACAACTAGAGGAACGACAAAGTTAAGCTCCTGTAATTTAAGTAAAAATCAAGAATTAATTTTAACCACATATTTAATGGGATCCATAACTTCTCAACCACACATTTCATTAAAGTTTATCAAAATCTACTGAAAAATCTGATTTTATTTTCCAACAAACAAGATCTAAATATCAATAACACCATATATTAATATTGAGCTAAAGATGTACAAAGCCCTCGGATACCAGACATCTCACGAATCGAACCATGGAAATAAGAAATAAAAACCTTTTCAACTTGTGTTGCACTTGAAAGCACAACCCACTTTTTTCTTAAAAATAAATAAATAAAAACAAAAATAAAGGTACAATAGCTCGTTTTATTAGTAGAGCTTGTGCTTTCCTCGTCGAAACATAAGCACAGCAGGCCAGCAAGTCGAGTGGATTAGGGCAATCCCTATCCTATGATTTAGCACTGCATAAATAGTGATCGGAAGCCAAGCAAGAGCATCAACAAGTCTTGGCAATGGCCCATGCTTTTCCTCGTTGTAGACCAAAAAGAAGGTTGCACTAAATGTTAAGACCACGCAAACAATTGAAGCAAAGAGTGAAATCAGTCCAACCATCAACTTTGCCGGTAATGAAAATAGAAAATCATCTTCTATATAGCGTGAAGTTAAGATAGACAAGAACATCATTATGGAAGTTGCCGAGCTGAACATTGCCACCACATCAGATATAACAAAAATTGTGAACCATCTATTCTTTAAGAATACCGGAGTGCCTATTTCATTATTGCCACCTGGTACAGTAAAGGCTGCAGCAAATGTGACGGTGGCAATTAGAGTTGCCACGACCATGCAAGAAGATGTTATATCCTTCATCCACTTCTCACCATCTTTCCTTAACTACTTGTGTTTCTTGGAAAATAACTCCCTTGGTGTTTTGCCGTCCTTGTTTTTCATATCGAGTAATGGATGTGATACAATCTTCTCCACCTCCTGAAAAGCATACTCAAATTATTGCATTTTGCAAAATCCTCCAAAATCTAACCCTCATGCAGTGTATAATTATTACATAGAATAATCAATTAGAGATTTCAAGGAACATGGTCCCCATATATATTCAAGATAAATAAGAAATCAAATTTCACTACCTTGTTAATTTCTCATCTTAAACCATAGTAGCTCTCTCGGCATTTGAAGAGTTGCACTAGATACAATATAAGTCTGCTTGGAGGTGCTATTTCCCCGGCCAAATGCAGAATGTTGTTCTTTTTACCATCGTCAAGGAGTGTAATTAAATCCTTATTAGCTCCTGTTTGGTAGATGAGACTGGACACTTTTTCTTGTCGGTTAATAACAGCAATATGAAATATGGAGTCTGTTGGGAATCTACATATACATGCACAGCGAAAAATTAAAATTATTTCGATTCCCACCGAGGATCCCTTTGTGTTTAGATAGAAATTGTGATAAAGATTGTACCTTTGAAGAATTCTGCAAACCTTTTGCTTTTCTTTTCGTTCCAGCAATCTTGATTCGCCACCCACAGCTCTCCAATTGTCCAGCCTCCAACGGTGATCCACACAGATAATAAGATTGCAGCTACCAGGGTTTTTCCTCTTGTACCAGCAAGAATAATGAAAACCATATGGACCTCAAACCCAGCCATGTATTTATATAAACCTAAACGGGCTTGGCTCGGTCCGGTCCAATATTTAATTAATCCATTTAACTATACCCAGTCCGTGAATTAATTAATCCAATTAATTAATTCGGGAATATAAATAACAAATCCAATTAATTAATTTATTCAACGATTGTTAAATTAACCAATTGGCAATTTACAATCTTCCAATTCTCTTTTGTGTGCGACCCATTAGGTTCCCGACCACGATGCCTAACGACATGAAATATTATTTTGATCTAATCAAAACTGATAAATTAAACACCCTTTTAATTTATCACAAATTCACACTAGCCGTCCCAGATTGACATCTAGCAATATATCAAGGCAACACATGTGACGGGAAATGTCACATGATATGACAAAACCAAAACTGTTCGTTTACCATGAAATTATAATCCCTTCGTCAATATGATCCGATCAACTCCGAGATATGGAAGTTTCTCAATCTCGATTATCGATTATATCTTTCATTCTACTATTAAGTCAATATGAGTCGAAAACTCCTTTTCGACTTATATGTATATCATGGCCAATGATTTCGTTATTAACTTAGTTGAACAAAATGCAGATCACAATCTCTTACTATATAAGAGTGACGAATCCTCTATTGGTCATTCACAACCTTCATATGGTTCTTGACATACCCGAACGATGTCGTATTAGTGGCCCTTGGCAGAACAACATCCAACACCATCAAAGTATGACTGTCCTCATACAAGACACTATGATGACCTCAAGTTATAGGACCAATTCCACTACTGAACGTTAGAGATTAACCACTGACACTCAGATAGTTATCCATGTGGAATCTCTTAACGGGTCTCCAATATTTTGTTCTATAACAAAACATCCACGTGTTCATTTAAGTGTCACCACACTTTAGCTCGTGAGATCAGCTACTTACTTCAAAAGTAAAAAAATGCCACACGTGATGGTTTAACTGTATTATCGATATCCATAACTCGTTATTACTTACGACCACAGTTTATTCAAGATCCAATCATACGTAATTTGTATCTCACAATCACAACTCCTTGTGATTAACAAATCACTTAAACTTGGATCTTCGGATTCTATTATTTAATTAATAGACAATTAATTAAATAATAGATTTGTCATTGAACTGCATTAATTATATATCAAAAGTATTTATGTCCAAAGTTGATTGGACCTAGGACATAATACTTACAAACTCCCACTTGCACTAGATCCAATCACTTATGTATCCAATATCATAAGTCTATATGACGATCATGTTTATGCTACGACAACTCTTTGTCAGTGGATCTGCAATATTGTTAAATGTGGGAATTTGTTCTTCTCTTTACGCCATTTCTATGTATTATCTTTCTAATGAGATTATATCGCTTTAATACATGTTTGGATCATTGATGAGACCTTAGTTCCTTTGCTTTCGCAATGACTCTATTGTCATCACAATACAATGGCATGTGATCAACAATATCAAGAACTACTCCAAGTTTATTTATGAACATCATGATCCAGATTGCAGCTCTTGGCTACTTCTGAAGTAATCATGTATTAGGTTTCTACTATTGAATCAATGGTTGCTTCACGTTCGGAACCTTTCCAACACACCGTTTAAGAGTAAACCAATCTCTCTATATAAAATCTTCTCAACATTTTATATAGATTGGGACGAGTTAAGCAACATTCTAGATCTATCTTTATAGATCAAGTTGCTTCTCCAATATCGTTCGAGAATAAATCCTTTAACAACCATTATTTCAACGATTGAAACTTAGGGATGTCGTTCTCTATAATGTTAGCAATACGACAATGCTCCCACTATCTTCTTGTAAACACATAATTCATCTTCAAATTTGATAAAATCAAACACTTTTGACTTTTTCATCAAATCTAAGACTTCAGCTCCAAGAGACTTCTCTTAACATATAGTCACGGTATGCAACTGTTGCAAGTAAAACCCGAATGGACTTAAGCGAAGCTACAGGAGAAAAGTTTTACCAAGGTCAGCACTTAACCTTTGCTTCTAGCCTTGCTTTGTATATATGGATATTCTCATCCATATCAACCTTTTCTTTGTAAACTATTTACAAAAACTTATGGGTTTTATTCCATCAGGAGGCTTGACCAAGGTCCAAACCTTGTTCACATACGTCGAATTCATCTCGAGTTTCATAGCCTCTTGCTGTATCTTTTAAGTCAACACTTGATTTTATTTTGTTGCAACTAGTAGGTTCATTATCCTGGATCACTAATACCTGATTAATGATCATGGATTCGTACCTTCTTGAAAGTCAAATGATCATACTAGATTCATATAGAGCTGTCATGTCCTCAGGAGTCTTTACTTCCTGATCAAGAGTATGTCCCATATCAGATATGGGATCAAACTTGGATTTATCTACTTGGTTAACTATATTTGTGGACTCTTGAACTTTTCAAGTTCTATTTTGCTCCCACTGTTCTCCCCTAGAGTAAAAATTTTCTCCAAGAAGACGATATGTCGTGAGATGAAGACTTTCTTCACAATAATAGAATTTATATTCAAATATCTGTTTTGAATATCCGACAAATATATATTTATCGGATTTAGTCTCAAAGTTATCCGATTCAAGGCGCTTCAAATAAAGGTCATGGCCCCAAACTTTCATATGAGATAAATTGGGACTACTGCCTTTTCATAACTTATATGGAGTTCTGTTAACCAATTTAGATGGAACATGATTTAGTGTGTTGCACACTGCAATCAATATATGAACCCAAAATAATTTCGGGAGATTTGCATGGCTTGTTTATTAATTGCATTATATCTAATAGTTAAAGATTCCTCCTTTTAGATACGTCACTGTGCTGCAGTGTATGTGGAGAAGTCCACTACAAGAGGATCTCATTCTCTCTTAGATAATCTAGATTTTATCATTAACATACTCTCACTTGATCGAATCTTAATGTGATGGTATCTTTATCTATTTGTTTCTCGACTTCTAGTTTGAATCCCTTGAACTTTTCAAGAGTTTCATATTTGAGTTTTCATCAAGTATACATGATCATTGATGAAATGCGAGAAACATTACCTGAAATCAGTTGATACGAGTCCATATGCATCACTATGCATTAGACCAGTAATTATGCTGACCTTTCTTCTATTCAAGCAAAAGAAGATTTGGTCATTGTGCCAGACATGCATAATTTGTATTTGTCAAAATCAATTAATCCCAAGTATACATCTCTATGTAACTTTGGAATTGTTTTTCATCGATATGGCAAAGTTTGCCATACCAGATTTAGATAATAATTATATTATCACATTTATGCCTTTTAATTTCTATACTCATTATAGAGTTCTTAGTATTAAAGATTATAAACATCGTTTTGTAATTTACCATAGCCATTAGGATCTTTATCAAAATAAATAAGAACAACTATTGTCCTTAACATTAAAATAGTTCATGTCGGGACATGACATTCATTTTAATGTTCCAGCTATGGTTGGTATAAAGCGACGTTTCTTTAATTCCAATACTAAACCAAAAGGCAATGGAAAGAAGTATATTCATACAGACAATGCAGCAACCTTTGCTCATCTCCAACATGTATGTCAACTTCTCCCTGTCGCAGTGGTCTACTTCTTTTAGTTTCGCCATATGTGTATAAATATGGGATTTACATCTGGTATCAAATACCTAAGAAACTCGTGAAGTAGAATTAAGTTACGTAATATTCCTTCTAATGACCTTTCATTCTATAATGAAACCAAGGGTCATTAGATTTGGTATTGTCTTCGCTTTGACGGTCTTAACCATATTGGACGCTTTCACAAAGCCCCTTTTCCTCTTAATGTCTTTAGATGAATCAATGGCTTGCCCACTACTAACTTTGATGTGGGGCTTAACAGTCTTAAGCATGTTAAGCAACTCAATAATTGTGCATTCGAGTTTATTCACGTTAAATTCATAATTAGTTGTAAATAGCTTTCTCTGGCAGAGATTGCAGAACCAAGTCACTACTTAGTTCATGGTTTATGATTGAACTTAATTGAGACATTTTTCAACGTCGATCATCTTCAGTGTCTAAGCATCGATTAAAGACTACTCTGTCATTTTGTACCGGTATAGTTGTTTGTAAGTCTTATATCCTTCCACACATGATTATTATCATACAACTCTTTGTAATGAAGAATTGTGTGTTAACATCTATACTCTCA